TCCTCCTCCTCCTCCGTGTCATAACTATATCATCCAGTACCCTGGATTCAGCACTACTTAATATAAGCTCGGTGAATTCAGTCCGGTCTGTGCAACCGTCTCGGGGTACACTCTACAGGGTTGCTCTTTATGGCCTCATCTGCCCCTTTTCTACAACTGAAAATGATGGCAGAATTCCAGAAGCAGAGCCCACCAGAGTGCAAAGGCTGGAACAGGCCCTGAGGGGTAAATCTAGGAAGTCAAATGTTCCGGTTCAGGAAAAAAGTGAAAGGTACACTTGGAAGAAATGATTGCTTCCTCCATTGTTGTTGTGACAGAAGTTCTCACTAGGATTGCCCAGGCTGGCCTTGAACTCCTGGGCTCGCACGATGCTCACACCTCTGACCTGTCGTGTGTGCTGACTCACACATCACAGCCAGCCAAAGTTATTTTTTAGCCAAGACTGTTCTGTGGAAATGGGGGATAAAGAGTCAGGAGACCACTCTGGGTGTCCAGTACCCTGATTCTGGCTAACCTTTTACAGAATTAGTCCCTCATCGGGATGGGGGAGACAGAGTTTTCTGTGTTTTGTTTGGTTGGTTTGGTTTGGTTTTTTTTTGAGACAGGGTTTCTCTGTGTAGCTTTGGTGCCTGTCCTGGATCTCACTCTGTAGACCAGGCTGGCCTTGAACTCACAGAGATCCACCTGGCTCTGCCTCCTGAGTGCTAGGATTAAAGGTGCCCAGCTTCTGTGCTATTTTCTAAAAACAAACAAACAAAAAACAAAGGAAAGGTGATTCTGAAGTTCTGCATCAATAGCTACCTGCCATCTGGTGAAGTTCCTTCAGCATGGGAATTTTGGGGGCACTGAGCTCAACCAATCCTTTCCTAACACCTTCAGTATGAAAGCCCCATATTGATCCAAGACCCAGAGGCGGGGACCTTTCAAGAGCAGACAGGACAGAATAACCTCAGAGCCCATGTGGAAGAAACAGCAAGGATCTAGGAGATCCTCGTTTAATCTACAGCCCTCCTCCTGTGACACTCTTTTATTTGTTCATTTTTAAATGTGTTCCATTTGTGTGTGTGTGTGTGTGTGTGTGTCTGTCTGTCTGTCTGTCTGTCTGTCTGTCTGTCTGTCTGTAGCATGCGCGTGTGAACCTCAGAGGACAGCTTTTGAGAGACACTTCTCTCCTTCCTCCATGTGGGTCCTGAGGATCCAACTCAGGTTGTCAGGCTTGGTGGTGGGCACCTTGACCTGCTGGGCCACCTTGCTGACCCTCCTGACAACCCAGCCCTCACACACATACACACACCTGCCTGTCTCTGCTGCCCCTACCACGCCGCCACTCCCCCGCCCTGCAGGGTGAATGAGGGTTCATCAAACTCACTTCTCTGCCATCTCATAAAAGATCATCCGGTCAAAGTTGCTGGTACGCTCCCACTCCTGCAGAGCCCTCGGAAGTCCCTCCTCCAGGGTCATAGTAGGCTTCAGTCGGGCCAGGGAACGGAGCACTGGGCTAAAACCCCCATTAGGTCAGACACGTGGTAAGAGTGTGCCCTGTACCTGTTCTGATGCCCGCCTCAGTACATACCCCACTTCTTTGACCAACTCTAGCATGCCCCTCAGGCCCTGCCATGTTCCCTTTGAATGAGCCGTCCGGATTCCACAACCTCCCCTCCATTTGGCTGCCATTCTGACTGCCCTTGCCACCGAGGTGTGCAAATCACACAAAATCAAATGATTCTCCTCCCGACCTTCTGAAATCAACGCCCACCTTTAACTCTCACGGTGCTGGCCCTAATGAAGAGGGAAACACTATTAACTGTAAATTGGATTTAACCCTGTCCAGAGCCTCTTGAATTGTCAAAGACTTATTTCACTAGCCTAACATGAGCCTCTAATTAAAGCATGTGTAGTAGTTTTTTTTTTTTTTTCTTTGTCTCCAGAACGTCCTCATAGATCTTCAGATAGAATATTGGACCATTACTTCTGGAACACTCCAGAGGAAACAAGAGTGCAGACTGAAGTCAGGACTTCATTGTAGCTTTCTGGCTTCTCTTTATGTCCTTAAACACTCTTGAGTATCAGAACCACTGGGAAAGCTTGCTGTAACGGTGGCTTGTAAGGGCCGCGGGATCCTAGGATTGGGCACCTAATCAACTTCCTAGGTGGCGGCTCTTCAGGGGCTGGAGCATGTCTGGCACAAGATCCTACCCACCACAATGAAACACGAGGAGCAGGAGTTGGCCAGAAACCAAAGGGGACGGGTCCTAAACCAACCTCGAGAGCCTATGCTGGTTCTAGATTTAGAAATTGTCCACCAGGTCCCAAGAGAGAATTCAGAGCTATCTCAAGAAACCAAGAACTCAAAGTAGTGTGTATTGAGGACTTTGGGAATTGTCTTTTGATCACTTGCTCCAAAGTCTGGATGAAGGAGTTCTTCCACTGGAAGAGAGCTTGCGTTTTGTTTTTTGTTTTGTTTCCAAAGTCTGGCAAAACAGAGTGTTTACTCAACGGTCCACAGCTGAGAGATACCCAGTCTGCTTGGGAAGTAGAGAAAATCTCCCAGATGACTAATGGCTGATGTATAAACCAAAAAGACAGCCTGTAACTCCAGGCTTCTTGGCTAAATATACATACACTCAAAAGGAGGGATATTTTTGTCTTTTGTGGGCTCCCTTCCTCATTAAGATTGCCTTTTTATAGGAATAATAAAAGAGTTATCATTTCAATGGTTTATGCCAGGCACTTTGCCAAGCACCTTTAATCTCATCAGCCCTTGGAGATAGGGACAATTACCCCCTCTCTGATGAGGAAACTGAGGGCAAAGGTGTTGAATGTCCTGCTCGGGGTCACAAATCCAGTGTGTGTGGAGCCATCCCCTCCCTCCATCACGTTGACTCCTGGGTAAGAAGAGAGGGTTCACACACCCTAAGGTCTTGGCCTGGCCCAGTGCCATCTTCCCCATCCCACAGGAATGAGTCAGGGCTCAGCCCACCTCATCCCGGCTCCTCAGTGTCAGAGGGCAGGGAGGGCCCTGACATTTGGTGTCAGGGACCTACATGACACTCTCTGCTTCCTGCTTTATGACAGGAAGTCTCTCCGTCTTCTCATCCGTACACGAAGACTACCGCAAACTGCTTGTCTGACTTCACAGAGTTGTAGGTATTCTTTGAAAAGGTACCTGAACGTGTCTTACATGCCAGAAAGAATGTAGCACTGCTTTTAATTCTCTTAACAGTGTCTTCTCACTCTCACAACTGCCCTCAAGAATTCTGGAGTGACGGAAACCCCTATGTCTATCCCACAGTCCCCTCTAAAGGCCCTAGGAACATCAATCTTGGATACCCACCCCCACTTACATAAGAAAACAGGAAAGAGCTTCTGCATCAGGACTCTGGGATAGGTGAGTCCGGGCCAAGACTTTGTAGCGTTGCCAGCGACGATAGTTCTCATAAACACCCTTGGAAGCATAGGCAAGGTCACCTTGGGAGGGCTTCCGGGCAGCCACCGGACCTCCTTTCATGGCTGCGGCTTGTGTTCCTGGCCAAGACTTTTCCAGGGGCACAATGGGAGCCAGTTGGGCAGCGGGTGGTGGTAGAGGCTGCAGAGGAAGCCCTGCAAGGCCCTCCTGGCTCATGCCAACAGCCACAGCCGGCAGAATGGTCTTCACATTCGAGGCTGTCACATACCGAGGAGGAGGAGGCGGAGGAGGCCCCTCCTGGCCCCCGCAGGGAGCACCTGAGGTAATCCAGTTTAGGGCTGTCTGGGTAACTATACGGCTCTGAGTTTGAGAGGGCTCAGCTGGCCCCACTTCTGTCTTGACTTTGACAATGACCTGGCCAGTTCCAGCCACACTGGGGCCAGAGCCTCCTTCTCCTGTCACCAACAGTGGGCTGGGAAAGGCCGAAAGGAGCAGAGGATTGCCTGCAGAGAATGCAGGAGGCATGGGGGCCTGTGGTGATGGCTCCCAGAGGGGTTGGTCTGGGGGGACAGGGGTAGGTGGGACAAAGGGTAGCGCAGTGAAAGGGGGCAGGCCAGCACCAGGCTTCATGGCCATATCAGGTCCTGGTAATGGAGAGGCTGTTGAGACAAAGAAGAGAAGGGAGTAGGAAGGAGACCAGAAGTTAGGCCACATGACTGACTGACTGCCTTTTAGTCCCTGTGTGGTCAGAGCGATGAGGGAGGGGACATGGATGGGTGTATCTGTGTCTCCCAAGCAGTGCTTTCCCCCCGAGTTACTGGGGTAGAGACATGGCTCCCTTTCCATGAGACACATAGACCTGCATCTTCCAAGCACAAGCTCAAGCTGTCACTGCCTCTAAGAGGTTTCCTCAAAAGGCTCCTGCAGACCGCCCCCGGCAGCACCAGAGTCACATCAAGAAGAAGTGAAACAGGACCTGACTCCTGTTCTGCAGGAAAAAGTCTGCAAGCAGGCTGAGTGCAGGGAAAGTTCCAGACTCCTGGAAAGCATTCGTGGGGTCCTTGGGAAGGAGGCTGTTTCACCAACACTGGTCCATCCTATCCTCTCCTCCTTTTTCTATTCCTCTTGCTTCTAACAATCTCCACATCTCAAACAACAGAAGATGCGGTTTATGAAGGCACAATGACTCTAGGACTCACGAAACTCATTTCTCCAAAAATAGTGCCACCAACATACGTGGGCATGTGCTAACCCTACCTACTCCCACAAGACAGAAACCACCTGCTCCCAGCTGCTCTGTGGCTCCTGTCAACATCCAGAAAGCACAGTTCCCATGACAGGGTATGATAGCCTCAATTCTTGCTTCCCAGAAACGTCATTATGCAACAGCCAGGAATAGCTGGAAAGGATTAGATAAAGACCAGGAAATGGTGAGGGGAGAGCATGGAGGGAGGGGAATTTCCAGTGCCTTCAGGAACTACTGGGCAAATTGAAGTTTGGCAGTACAGAGTATCTGTGGTCCTGCTTCTTAATGTTAGAAGTTTAGGGCTCATGAAGAACAAGGCATTGAGCTGGAACTAAGGAAGAAGGAAATCCAGAACACAGTTCCTGCTGGGGACAAGCTATGTGGAGACTGGTCAGGCAGAGCAGGGGATGAGCACACATATGTGTACTGCATTGAACATGGCCTTCATCCACATGACATCCACGGGGATATCCACATGACTTTTAATGATAAAAACAGAACCCGACCGGCCTAGTTTCATGCTATTTTTCTCCCTCTTTTAAAAAAGATTATCTCACTGACTGACACAACAGTACTACTCAAATTCCTGACCACAAAGGAGACATGAAATAGGAACAAACTAATGTTCATACTCATCTGAACCACACAATAGAGGGCCAAGTTATAACCACCAAGTTCCGCACACAGTAAATGTTGCTAAGGTCTTAGTTCCACAATAAGTAAGAAAACTGAGCATCTCACTGTGGCTAAGATGACCCATCACCTCCATCCTGAAAGTCAAGAAAGACTGTCCCTAACAAAAAAACATACTTAGAAATATGTACAGGTTTGTAAATACAGCCACTCTGGAGGATGAGGCAGGAAGGTCACAAGTTCAAGAGCAGCCTGAGCAACTTCACAAGTCCTCAGCTCAAATTAAAAAGTGAAGTGAGGGCTCCAGATTTGGCTCATAGAACGCTTGTCCAGCATTTGCAAGGCCTTGGATTCGATTTCAATAAGCAAAAATTTTACACATACACAGAGAGAAATGCATGAACGCACACATGTGCACAGAAATTGTCTATGGGGCAGGAAAAGTACCCTCCCCAGAACACTAAGTAGATGGAACCTTGATCTTAGACTTCCCAACTTCCACATATTTGCATAATAAATTACTATAAAAGGAAAGAAAGAAAGGAAGGAAGGAAGCAAACAAGCAAGCAAACAAGCCAGCCTGCTGCCTAAACTGAAAAGAAGCCACCTCTGTGGCTAGTAGGAGCCGTCAGGTCCGGGGCTGCACAAGCAGTTTTATAAAATCTCTAGCTCTTAAGTAACTAACTCTACTGAAGAGTGTTAGCTTTCCAAATAAGGCTGTCCCCCCGGCCCAATTCCACCTCTCCATCCTTCAGCCTACTTTCTCTCAAGAGATCAAATGAGGCTCAGCCCTGCCTTCTCATGGCGAAGTCCCAGAGCAGGCACTAGCTGCCAGAAGACAGATCTTGAGTCTTCCCTGAAATCCTGACTACGCTACTCATATTGTACATAAACCTCTGCTTCCACCCCAAGCATGTTAGAGTGGTTCCTCTTCCTGGGAATCAAATTGGTTATTGCTATCCATTCCCTATATTCAGTGTGTTACGTCTGAGGTACTTTGGTTCATTTCCAAGGAGGCCCTCCCCAATTCCTAAAGGTAAAAATCTACTTCCCCCAGGCTCCCTAATGCCTGTGTGGGGTCAACTGTCTCACACCCCTTTAGGGTAGCCTAAATAATTTGTCCCTAGGTAAAGGGACAAATCTGACACCCCAGGGATGTGAACAGGTGGCAGATACCCTACAGTCTCCACCACCCTGTCTTACTTCTGTCCGACGCCATCATCTAACGTTTAGGTACACCAACAGTAGCTGTCTGAAGCCTCCTGAATGAAACAGTTGGGTCCAGGATCCTGGCAGTAACCTAGCTCTAACAGATGATATCCAAGGAAGGTAGGTAGGGTAAAGACTGGGTCAAAACAGAATTAGAATCTTGGACTCAGGCATTCTGTAGTGGGGGAGGGGAGAGGGTATTGTGTGGTGAGAATGGGAAGGTATTACACAATGGGTTCTAGTAAAAAAGCAGAAACTAGAAAATCCCCCTAAATTAATTTGATAGCACAATTGTTGGGTGTCTTTTTTTTTTTTTTTTTTTTTTTAGGACAGTCTGCACATTGTTTCTCAGATTCCCAACATTCTCCTGTAGTTTTTGCTTTTGGTTCCTTATTCTTCAACAATATACCTAATCCTGTTCCCTTCGGTTCCTCTAGTTCTGCAACTGGCTTACTATTAATAACAGATTAATGGTAGATCTTTGGCTCGTTACAGTGATGACTCTATTTTCTGAACCAAATTTGGAGCGCACAGTTTGTACAGTTGAGGATCAAGAAAACTAAATGTTTGAAATTGAAGTGTCTCGGATGATCCAGGGTGTTCACTGCTGTGGTGTGAGCACCGCCTTCTGGAAAAGTTGCCACAACACTCGTAATCCTAGCACTCGGGAGGTTAGAGTTTGAGAAAAGCTTAGACTGCAAGTAGGACTAACTATCTTAAGAAAGAATTCCCAAACAGCCGAGTCCCAACAGCTCTGCAATTTATGGAAGCCACGGCCTTTTCCATTTGCTGAAAAACCTTTATACATACATATAATTTATATATACATAATATATATACATATAACATTATATATATATATATATATATATATATATATATTTTTTTTTTTTTTTTCCAAGATGGGATAGCTATGTAGCCCTAGCTGGCTAAGAACTCAACAGAGATCTCCCTGCCTCTACTTCCTGAGTACTTGGATTAAAGACCTCTACCTTTTTTAGAAAGACACAATCTTTAATAGTTTTTAAAGGGTTTATAGAGTTTTATTTTATAGGTATCAATATTTGTCTGGATGTGTGACTGTGCAGCTGGGTGCATGCCTGGTACCCCCAGAAGCCAGAAGAGGGAGTGAGAGCCTCAGAAACTGGAGTTCCAGCCAGTTGTGAGTTATCATGTGGGTGCTGAGAACCGAACCTGGGTACTCTACAAGAGCATAAAGCATTCTTAACCACTGTGCCATCTCTCCAGTCCCTTTTTCATTTTTGAGACAGTCTGGCTATGTAGCCTAGGTTCAACCTTAAGACCTTCTTGCCTTAGCCTCTTGAGTGCATAAATTAGAGTCCTGAGCCACAATCCCTGCCTTAAAATTACCATACAGTTTTTTCATTAAATTATCTTTTAAAGTTATTAAATTAATTATATTAAATTCATATATTAGCATGGCTGAAAAGTCAGACTAAGAAAAGTTTGGAGGGGGAGAGAAAGGGGCATAAGAAAGAGGTATGGGAAGGTGAAAACGACTAAAATTCAGTGTGTGGGGGTGGGGTGGTGTTAAAATTGTTGACAACAACAAAAAACACACAAAACAAAAAATCCAGGCTATGCAAAATAAAATACACAGCAGAAAGTACTCTTCCCATTCATTTCCCCGTAACCAAGTCCTCCATGCCAGAAGATGCCAATTTTAAATGTTTCTAGTACATTCCTGCCCCTGGCAAAATCTCCTGCGCGCGTACCCAGACAGACAGACAGACAGACATATACACACGCACACACACCCCCCCCACACACACACCGTTTGTTTTTTTGTTTCTCGGTTTAAAGTAGGGTCTCACTGCTCGAAATTCTCACTGCTCGGAATACTGCCCAGGCCGTTCTTCAACCCCGTAGTTTCTGGAGATCCTTCCGCCTCAGCCTCCGGACTTCTGGGGTTACAAGCACGTGTTAAACTCCCGGGCTTTTTGAATGTATCTTATGCAACGGCAAGCAAACCAACTACATCCGTTACTTTAAAAAAAAAAAAAAATTTAAGGTTTTTCTGCCTATAAATTTAATATGTTACAATATTTTGCCACTATAAATAGTGCTGCAGTGATCATTTTGCAGTATCTTGATTCTAATTTTTTTTTTTTAAACTAGGCTCTTATAAGAATTTTCATTCTTTTAAAAACTGGGACTACTCTAAGAAGGGTACCTTATTTTGCTATTATTCGCTACTCACCATGTAAGAAAGAGCTGGATTTGTGGTCAAGTCCAGAGTTTGAATCTTGGTTCGACCTCTAAAACAAAATTCACCAGTTTCATAAGAAACGCTTTACGTTCTTTTCGCTTTGCATAATATCGAATACCCATCATGCACTCTTTACCGCCAATACTTTGAAATGGGGCAGGAAACCGGATGTAAAAGTGGGGGTCAGAAAAATATCTTACTTCTTCCCTTGGATTATAGGAGGTTGAGAATCCCGGAGCCCTTATTTCTCCAGGAACTACAAAACTAGTGTCTCTGAAATGAGTGTGCAATTTGATATTAAAGATGAGATTGGATGCATCAATATTTAACCCACACCCATCCCTACCTCCTAATGTCTGGCAGTGCCTGGCACACAGTGGGCAATTCCATCCATCTTAACAACTCTCTGCAAGGTTGTAGCAAGCTGAAGCCCAAGGCCAAGTGCTGCTCTACTATGCCCCCTTCTGGTCATATGGCTATGACTGGAGAAATGGACTACATTTCCCGGCATGCCTTAGAGAAACTTCCGGCCGGACAGGAAGGATGTTGGCTAGCACGATTGAGGTGGTGCAGTGAGGGAAAACGCGGCTGGCTGCAGAGAGGTCGGCATCTTCTCGCTGAGGTGCAGTCATGTTTCTCCAGTATTACCTCAACGAACAGGGAGATCGCGTCTATACGTTGAAGGTAAGAGGAGGAAACAGCTGTAAATCGGAAGAGCGAGAAATGTAGGTGGGAGGAGCTGTTGGAACCGGCCACCGTCCTGCGCAGCCTGGTGCTTGGGGCCGAAACGTGGTCGATTTGGGTAGTGCACGGCTTCTTGTTCTGACCATCGCGTCTCCTGGCTTCAGGTTTCCCATTTTCTTGTTGTCGCCTTGCTGTCACACCACTCATGTATTGAGAGCATTTCCTTTTTTTCCTTGAGCAGAAGTTTGACCCTACGGGACAACAGACTTGCTCTGCCCATCCTGCTCGGTTCTCCCCTGACGACAAGTACTCAAGACACCGGATCACCATCAAGAAACGCTTCAAGGTGCTTATGACCCAGCAGCCGCGCCCAGTTCTCTGAGGGTTCGTTAATTTCTTGTGCCGCCCGACCCCAGGCCGATGATCATCAGTAACCAAACGCGTCAATCCGTGAGCAGTGAAGCCTTCCCATGCTGTTTGGAATCCTATCTCACTACGTGATCGCGTCTGTCGTGATGGGCATCACCCGTAAAGGGAACAATCTTAACTTTTTTTTTCTTCATGCTTTGAATTATTGCCAGGTTATTAAAGAGACAATGACTTGAAAGTTCATTTTTGAGTGTGGTTTGAGGAAAAGATGGGGAGGAGGGTAGTGCCGTTGGAAGTACAAGGCCACTTGAGAAAAATCTTAAGTCCTCACTGTAGCAGGGGCGCTGCGCCATGAATGATAGTTAGGGTATTGGGGAAGAAAGGCTGAGAGACTCCCACAAAGGTCAGCATTCACTGAAAAGATAACTCTTGTCCCTGAAGTAAATTGTGGCCCCTTTAAATAACATTCTGAATTCCTCAAAGAATAATAAAGGCATAAAAGACTGAATTGGAAGTTAGGAAACTGGTTCTGTTTCCCCCTCTTTCTTTTTTAAAGATTTATTTATTTATTTATTATACAGAAGAGGGTGCCAGATCTCATTACAGGTGGTTGCTGGGAATTGAACTCAGGACCTCTGGAAGAGCAGTCAGTGCTCTTAACCACTGAGCCATCTCTCCAGCCCTTTATTCCTCTTTCTGTAAGGAGTAAAGGCACTTAACTTGTTTAGTCCTCTGTTTTTCTCATTTTTAAGGGTGTGAAGGCGAAGCTTCTTAATAATTATACAGTGTTAGTTCAGCTGTCCTAAGTGGGAATGTCATTGACCAAACTTACTGACCTGGAAATACACCCACACTCTTTCCTCTTTAGTTCGTATACATATAATACCCCACATCTGTAGTCTCCGGCAGCCGGCAGCTATGCAATGCCCCACAGATCTTAATTTTGAAGAGATATGAGAGATTCAAGAAAGGATTATTGTTTTCCAGTCTAGTGGTGTGTGTGTGTGTGTGTGTGTGTGTGTGTGTGTGTGTGTGTGTGTGTGAAATAGAAGTTTAAGGACTTTAGCCACTGCCATGGGAACAGCATAAGTGATTTTTTTTTTTTTGAGACAGTTTCTTTGTGTAGCTCTGGCTGTCCTGCAACTAACTCTGTAGACCAGGCTGGCCTCTGCCAGCCTCTGCCTGCCTCTGCCTCCCACGTCCTAGGAGCAAAAGTGTGCATCACCACTGCCCAGCTCATAGCCTTGAACTCAGAGAGATCTGCCTGCTTCTGTCTCCCAAGTGCTGGGATTAAAGGTGTGTGCCACCACGCCTAGCAACCTAAATGATTTTGTTTGTTTTGATTTTTGTTTTTTCAAGACAGCGTTTCTTTGTGTAGGTTGGCTTTCCTGGAACTCACCCTATAGACCAGGCTGGCCTCCATCCGCCTGTCTCTGCCTCCCTAGTGCTGGGATCAAAGATGTGCTACCATGCTTGGCTAACCTAAGTGATTTTGTTGTTTTGTTTTTCGAGACAAGGTTTCTCTGTGAAGCAGTCCTGGCTGTCCTGGAACTCCCTCTGTAGATCAGGCTGACCTCGAACTCACAGAGATCCTCCTGGCTCTGCCTCCCGAGTGCTGGGATTAAAGGTGTGCACCACCACTGCCCAGCCTGTGATTTTTAATTAAATTATTTCATCTTAGAACGATGATGAAGTAAAATAATTGTATTCAGGCATTCAAGAAATGCTAGCTGGTCTCTTCCTTTCCTTGACAAGTTAACTGGCTATCAGTTTCCCAATCCTGGATTGTGACATTGGATCTGAATGTATTTATGCTTACTGCCACTAAATTTTTTTTTTAAGAAGTTTTTATTTTTATTTTATGTGTATGTGTGTTTTGCTTGCATGTATGTATGTGTGCCACATTTGTTTCTGGTGTCCACAGAGACAGAGAGGGCATTGGATCCCCTAAAACTGGAGTTAGGGATGGTTGTCAGTGGCCACCTGGGTGCTAAGAACGGAACCTGGGTCCTCTGCTGAGCAATCTGTCCAGCCGTAGGGCCACTTATTTTAAACTTTCTGTATGGAGACTGTGTTTGCATTCTTGCTGTATAATCATAGAGGTAGGAAAGTTCAGGATTACTCTTGGCTGTTGGTTTTGAAAGAAAAAAAGAATCATTTGACATATCTTTTAACAGAAGACAGATAACTTTCAAGTAAGTTATAGTTCTGCTAAAATCATACACACACACACACACACACACATATATTTGTTGTTTTTCTTTTTCCTCTCAAGTATTTTATTTCTTAGCCCATTCATGAATAGTTTTTAGTGTTATATGTGAGAGATTTTAAAGAATGAACCATATCCTACTAAGGATAAAGATATGTTAAAAACTCCGCAAACTGGAAAAATGAACTGGAATTTTCTGTCTTGTTTGGCATTTGCTTATTGCATTGGCTTGTGACAGTCTTTTTATTCTGAGTGAGTCTCAAAATTGCTCTGTAGTTGAGGATGACTTAGAACTTTTGATCTTCCCACTGTGGTGTTTGCCTCCATGTATGTATGTGCACCACATGCATGCCTGGTACCTTCAGAGGACAGAAGAGGGAGCTGGCTCCCCTAGAACTGCAGTTATGGACGATGAGCCACCATGTAGGTCCTGGAACCCGAACCTGGGTCCTCAGCAAGAGCATCAAGTGCTCCAAACTGCTGAGCCATCTCTAGACCCAAAAGTTATCTAAATTTGCTGTTTAAAGTGTGTGTGTGTGTGTGTGTGTGTGTGTGTGTGTGTGTGTGTGTGTATGCGTATGTGTATGCATATGTGTGCTAGTACCCACCCAGGCCAGAAGAGGGTGTTAGGTACCCTGGGACTAGAGTTAGACAGTGGTAGCCTTTATGCGGCTGCTGGAGGTGGAACTCAGGTCCTCTGGAAGAGCACCCCTGTCTCTAGCCCCCACCACTACGTTTTGAGTTCTGGGATAACAGATGTGTATTACCACTCCTGGTTTATGGTAGGGATTGAACCCAGGAATTGTATGCTAGGCGAGTACTCTACCAACCCTATGCTCAACCCTGGAAGGTTTTTTTTTCTTTCTTTCTTTCCTTCCTTCCTTCCTTTCTTAAGTACAGTTGTAAGTTTGAATCAAGAGCCATAGGCTGTTTAAGAATCCAAGTTGGGTATGGTGGCTCAGGCCTGTAATCCTAGCATAGAGAGAATGAGGTAAGAGGATTCCTGTGAGTTCCACACCAGCTTGGGCTATGTAGCTAATCCTTGTATCAGAAAACCAGCAGGGGGCTGGGGTTGTACATAACACACTAGGTAGAGTGCTTTTCTAACATTCACAAAGCCACGCTGAAGAGATCAGGTTTGGTGATAATTCCAGCACTTGGGAGGAGAAAGCAAGTCAGAAATTGGAAGTCATTCTCTGCTACACAGAGTATGAGGACAGCTGAGCTACCTGAACCCAAGTCTCACTTTGTCTCCAAAGTTCAAAAAAGCATTTGGCCAACAAAGGTGTATCACTGCCACTCCTGCAGGTCTGGGTTCAGTCCCTGGGACCCATATGTGGAAGGACTCATGTATATGTGCATGCCCCCCAAAAAATAAGTGTGCTTTTTAAAAAACATTAAAGTTTTTTAACTCTGCCTCCAACTCCATTGATGAGGATAGAATCTAGGGCTTTGGATTATGCCAAAGTCTCTATCACAGACAGAGCTAATAGTTTTACATTTTAATGGGAATTTCATTTTTTTTCCCCAGGCTTTTAACTAGACTGGGAATTGTCATTTGATCAAGGGGAATTTCCAGACCCAAGAATTAAGACGATTTTGATCCATGACTTTTAATTTTTTAATATAAATTTTTTTTATATATATAGTGTGTAAATACACCACTTCCATGCCTTGCCTTCAGAGGTCAGATCCCCTGAGTTATAGGCAGTTATGAGACACATCATGTGAGAACTGGGAACCGAACCGGGGTCTTCTGCAAGAACAGTAAATGCTCTTAACTGCTGAGTGGTCTCTCTAAACCCTGATCCATTATTAAATATGCTGATTTAACTATTTGCACCTAAGAGGAACCAAGGACCCTGGCAAGGCTCCAGCGAGTTTTTCTGCATTTTGATTAACATTGCAGGAAGATTGTTGAACTGAAATATTTTAAACACCTCGATGCATTAAACATTAAACATATCTAGTGACAGACAGTAAAGTAGATCAAACACTGGACATGGAGTAGAGCAGATAACTCAATGTCTTCTCCATGTCTATAGAGTTCTCTAATGGAAGTTTAAGCCTGGCTTGCGATTTTCAAAGGGACAGGAACAAGAAGCAGGAAAGGAGCCTAAACTGAAGATGAAGAT